GGGGGGGCCGGGACAAACCCGATGCAAGGGCGGCGCTTGAGGAGGAAAAAAAAGAAAGAAAGAAGGAGCGAGAGAGGGGGAACAGGGAGGGGAGACGCAGGAGCAGGGGTGATCGAGATCCCGGACCCCGGGGGCCTGCCAACCGTCCTCCTTTTGTCCCAGCGCGGCTGGGGGGGCCGTTGCGCCACTGGCTGCCCGCACGAGCGCCGCCCGTGTGTCAGCTGATCACACATTGGACTGCCGTCGAATGAGTGTTTCCCTCTGCCTGCCGCGTGATGCGGGGGCCGGGGAGGGCTGCCGTGCTCCGGCCGGGCGAGGGGCGCTTCGCCCTCGGCGTCCACGGCGCCGGGCACCGGCCCCCATGCGCATGCCTCTGTCTCCCCTCCCCTGCAAAAGGTCCCCGCCTCTCGGGAAGGGGCATGCAGCAGGGTGGCCACGCGCGAGGCGCACCAAGGCAATGGCGTGAAAGGTGCGCGGCACAGGGAGCAGGCACATGTCGACATGCAGGGCTACCTTTGACGCTCTGCGAGACGCGGGCCATGTGCATGCCCACGCCATGTGCCCTGGTGGATGGACGAGGAGAAGAGCAGGGAGCTTCGGCCTGTTCGTGGGGACAGCGCGCGGCGAGGCGGGAACAGACAAGCAGGAGGCCCTCCTCGATGCGTGAAAGGGCATGAACATGTGTGATGCCCCGCGAAGGAATAGGGGGGAGGGGGAGGTGTATGTGTGTGGTACATTTGGTAGATTGGAGGGGCAGGGGGAGAGGGGGGGAGAGGGCTCAGAAGTCGGCGAAAAGATGAGCGAACGGGTCGTCGCCGGTTCCCGAGCCGAAGGTGATGGGATCGATGTCGGGCTCGTCATAGCGCTCGAAGTTGCTGGTATCGCCTGGTCCATGGTACATGGGGATGATGGGCGCCTGTGTGTGTGTGGGGGGGGCGCGAAGAGGAGGGGAGGGAGACGGGAGACGGGGGTTCGAGGCGTTAGCAAGAGGAGGAGGAGGAGGAGGAGCCGAGGCGGGTGGCCGGAGAAGAGCAGGAGGCCACATTGTGACAGGCGAGGGGTGCGCCGGGGATGTGCTTGCGCATGAGGAGAGGAGACAGGAAGGGGGAGGGAGGCGTACCGGGAGGGTGCGGTCCAGGGCCCCCTTCCAGTCGAAGTTGCGGAACCACTTATGTGCCTTAACATCGACAGGGCCATTCTTCAGATTGCCGAGCCGCTTGGACCGGTCGGCATTGAGCAACCGGCGAACAAGGTCCTTGGCCGGGCTGTCGAAGTGCGAGGGGAACTGAATGCGCCCGGCCAGAATCTTCTCATAGATGCCGAAGGGGTTGTCATCGAAGAAGGGCGGGAAGCCGGCCAGCATTTCGAAAATGAGAATCCCAAGAGCCCACCAGTCCACGGCCTTGCCGTGGCCCTTGCTTTGGATGATCTCGGGGGCCAGGTACTCCGGGGTACCGCACAGGGTCCAGGTGCTGGTTTTGAGCACGCCCGAGATCGAAAGAGGAGGGCCGGAAGGGGGAGGGGATGACGAGGAGTCCGGCGAGGGGGTCAGTGAGTGGAGGGGGGGGGGGATGCGCATGCGTGTGCGTGGGTGATGGTGTGGGCGAATGCAGATGCGGGGCAAACTGGACCACGGGGGGTCGGGGGAGGTTGCATGTGTGTGTGTGTGTGTGTGTGTGTGCGTGTGTGCGGTACGGACCGATCGACCACCTTCTTGGCGAAGCCGAAGTCCGTGATCTTAATGTGCCCCTCGCTGTCGAGCAGCAAGTTTTCGGGCTTGAGATCACGATAGATGATGTCCAGTCGGTGGAGGTACTCGATGGCGAGGATGATCTCGGCCGCATAGAAACGGGTGGTGTCGTTGGAGAAGCGCCCGGCACGGCGGAGATGCGAGAAGACCTCACCACCGATGATATACTCCTCCAGCATGTAGATGCTGTGGACATCCTGGAAGGTGCAGTAGCTGCGCGTGCGGGGGAACAAGAAGCGAGAGGAGGAGAGGGGGGGGGGGGAGAAAGTCAGAGCAAGACCTCGCCACGCATGGTCGCCGAATGCACAGGAGAGACAGGGAGAGAAAAAAAAAAGGCAGTCGTGCGCACAGGGTGACAATGAAGGGGCAGGAGATCTGCGCGAGGATGTCCTTCTCGGAGTTGATGTGCTCCACCTGCTTCAGGCGCACGACGTCCTCCTTGCGCAGGACCTTCATGGCGTAGTAACCGGGCTGCGTGCGGTGGCGGGACAGGTGCACACGGCCGAAGGTACCGGTACCTGGGGCACCGGGCAAGGAGAAGGACGGATGGGGAGGAAGGAGAGGAAGGGGAAAGGCATGCGCAGGAAGGCGGGGGGGGGGGGGG